CACAATGGAAGGTATTGCTAAATAGTGCACAAAAGTATTTGTCTATGTTTTTAAAAAAAAGGCAGAATAGCTTAATGAAGAAAGAGGCCGTAGCTTAACACAAACAAACATGTTGGGGCGTTGCCATGTAAGTGAAAGACACAAGTCAAACATTCCCTGCACTGAGTGTCTTGGGCTTCGCGGTAGGCGCAACACACAGCACCAGTGGCTTACAAACAGTGGCCAACTCGGTCGCAATTTGTGTGCCTTGCAATGTGCATGTTGAATAGATTTCTGTGACCTCCACTGTTGCACTTCTGCAGCATGAGCCACTTTAGTTCCAGCATGCCCTCGCCTGTAGCAGAGGCACGGTATTTATTTAGGAAAAAGATACTAAGTTTATGCAGGAAAAAAAAGAGGGTAGAAAGGCAGGTGTCTGTGTACTTGTGGAAGATGAGGTTGTTGAAATAGCTGAAGGTTTTGGGTTAGGAAGAGCGTTTGAGGTGTCGTAGGCACATGTGAACGCAATGGGGGTGGGGAGTGCCCAGAAAAAAACATGTATGAGGGAATTGTCACTCATCTTGAGCCTAGTGTAAGAGCTGTCTATTACAGCTAGAAGCATTGGAACCCAGAGCAGCAGGTTTCTTTAAAATCGCTTGAAGGAAAATGTGATTCAGGTTAAGCAAATATCTTGAGAAGAACAGTTTTCTAGGTTGTTGTCTTCTGTGTTGAAAGGAAGAAAGATGTTTTGTGAATGAAGATGTTTACACAGCTGGCTGGCTGGGCTGTGGCATTACCCTTATGAACTCCTTTGGACAACTAAATTGAGAATATAGTAATAACAAAGTGGCAAAGAGTGCCACTTAGAGTGCTCAAATGCAAATCTCAGAGTCAAGGGTGCAACACTGCTTGTAAAACTCCCTTAGTTTTGGGGATCCTTTAGTGCTGCTGTTGTCCACAGTGTCATATCATATGAGATCTGCTCTGACTGTGATCCGGTGATATATTGGTAAAAATCTGTTTTATCTTAGAGTTACTCAGATTACTACTGTCTATAATAGCAATTACTGGAAATGTGAAGGACATCAGCATAGAACAGACTTTCGTACAGCTGTTAGGGCATCTCCGGTTTGATGCTACTGTCCCTTTGTAGCTGCAATGTAATGTAATGACTTTTCCACTCAGAAGGTCTGTGTGCAAAGACACCTGTACGGTATGTCACAGTTGCAGCTGTTTGCCCCATGGAGAATGTGGTTGTGTGGTACTGCTTTCTGGATGGGATGGTTTCTCTTTGAAAACCGTGGCATTATGTGTTAACAGTGGAGAATGGAAGCTTGGATAATTTGCCAGATCAGCAGCGCCTGGGAACTGTCCGTGTTCGCATCATGGTTCATGAGTGGCCTTTGGCATCCAGTTCTGATGTGCAGCTGATTGTCATTCAGGAAGAAGTGACAGAAATTGATGGAAATCAGGTAAAAAATAACACTCTGCTTGTTTTGGATTTAGGAGAGGCAAACAGTTACCGAAGATTACAATGTTTACATGCATACAGTGGTGGTGAGAACAAGATGTATATAATCTAATGCTAGCTGGCCCAGTACTGAGGGAGCTCAGTACCAAGCTAAGTCACCTGTATAGCAGCTGGGGTGTTTTGTGAAGAGTCTTCAGGTTTTAATTTCTCTTATTAGAAACATAGTGCTTCTGTTCTTATTTTAATAGGTAGGAGTTGGATCATTTTCCAAGAATACTGTTAATTCTGTTGCATGCTCTTTCAAAGCATGCATTTATGGAAGGAGAATTGAGCTCACATGCCAATTTGCTCATCTACCACATAATTCATAAAGTTACTAGGAGGGGTGTGTGCTGATTCTGAGTTTTGAGGTTTCACCATGTCATTTACTCCAGTCTAACAAGCATGTAGCATGGAGAGCAGGTTGCAACAGCAAACTCTTAAGGCAGGTGGGCTCATTATGAAAGACTATGTCAAGTAAATATTTTGTAAGTAAACTAATTAATTAATTTGAATAAAAATCTTGATGTTGACCATATTGAGATGAACAGCAAAAATAAAAGAAATTCTAGTTGTTCATAGTTACAATGTAATTGAGATTGAAAGTGTGTAGCACTGAGTTCTCAAAATCACCTAAAAGCTATAGTTATTTTTTAAACCCGAGAGGTTTAGTGAAGAGTAGGAAGATATAGCTGCTGCAACGAGCAAAAATGTTGGTTTTCTTTTTTTCCTTTCTTTTTTTTTTTTTTAAGTGCATATCTACATCTTGCATGAGGCCTGGTTTTTTTGAAGCTGGGTTATACTCTGCTGGGTTTTTTTTAATGGTAGAATGCTGATAATACCATTGATCCTTAATTGCATGATCAGCATGTAATGTTTGTTAGAGATCTACATCATGTTCAAGTTTGACTCTGTTAATGGAGATGATGATCTCACTGAGAGATGTGAAGCTTTTCTAATGATGTGTTTATCCCACAGTTTAGAGGCCTAAATGTCCCGTTTTAGTTCAGTTCTTATACAATAGCATTCTATTATTTCAGATATCAAACTAAACAACAAAACATTTTTCAGGTTTTGATAGGGAGCTGGTAAGAACAACTAGAAAGCTAATGCCTGTATGTTAAATTGTTCCTTTAGATCAGAAACTTTCTTTGTCACTAGTTATCAGCTGACGCTAACAGTCATCTGTTTTATTGCATCGCTCTTGTGTGTATTAAAACCAAAATGAGAGGGCCTATTTCTCTGAAAGCACGATTGAGACTGTAACTTTTATCACATGCTGCATTCTTGTTTTGTTGTTACAATTCTATGTTGTAGTTCTAATCTTGGTCACACACACTTTGGATTTCTGTTAGTTCTTGGCCTTACAGAGCAGTTATTGATGTTGTTAGTAGTTGGGCAGAATGTTTCCTATATAAGCTATGCTTGTAGCGATTATCAAATGAAGTATGTCCAATGCATCACTTGGAAGAGGAGGAGGAAACTATACTTTAATGCTGCCTGCTTTGAATAATACAACTTTAAAGAAAAGGAATACAAGTTTAACCTAAGAAACCAAATGGAACAATGAGCGATCCCAGTAGAATTTTTCTGGGATGTTGAAAAAGCAACATTACTACAAAAGCAGAAGTATTAGTCTTGTTTCAGCAATACACTAAACATTTGCATGTGCCCTTTTCCTACATCCTTATTACTCACCTACTTGAGTTTTCCTTGCCCTAACATGCCTCCCTGATCATAACGAGCTGTATAAGATGCAGGTGAAAGCCTGTGGATTGAATGCCACCTGTTTTTGCAGGGAGGGAGACCAGTCTGTTCAGCATATGTTCTAATGTGATACAGTCTGTAGAAACATGTTAAGTAAAAACAGAAAATAATAAATTCATGTTAGTAATGTCTATATGTCTGTAAATCTTAATGGCTTGGAATTTTCTGTGATGCACTGTTTTTCTATGCCAGCCAACTTCACGTTTAAGTAAACTTGCAAATATTAACATGTTTGCATCTCTCGCAGATTCAGCAAGAAGAAGTAACTGAAATAGATATTTTAGTAAAGGAGCTGAGAGTACTCAGGCATTCAAACTACACTGTCCCTTTGAAAGAAAGCATGCTGTATTCCATCCCTAGGGACAATGATATGTTATTTACCTTTCCCAACCTCTTAGGAAAAGGTAGGTCTCTTATCTGTTACATACTATTTTTAACCGTAGTTCACATATTGCTTTACAAGGACAAAAAGATATTGTTATTCCCATGTTCTACATAGGGTAACGGTTTCTTCAAGAACAGAAACGTATTTGTTATACCTAAATTACACTCTTGTACATTCTAGGTTTTACTTGTCTTGTTTTGGTTACAAATCTAATCTCCTCTGAAGTACTTGATACTTGTAAACGTGCCACCTAGACGTCTCACGTGAATAATTTCTTTCTCTGTGCTATGATGGAAATTTCTCTAAAACTCTCCATTTTTCCTGAAACTGAAAGTGAAAACTAGAGAGGAAATACCTGTCTGGGTCACTTCCAAACCAGAGAATAGTCTTACATTCAATAAACTTCAATACCTTAAAAGCAAGCAAAGTTATTGGATGCCTCTGTCTTATTTTAGTTTGGTTAATCAAAAATTCTCAAGGATTTCATAGGAGAAATTTTGGTCAAGTTTCTCACTTTTTAATCTGATAACAGCTGAAATTTACTACTAAAGGCATAGCTGAAGTCTGCACCATAACACTGCTTCTGCTTCTTACCGAGTTCACTACTGAAGTCAAATAAAAATGTCAGCCTTCTGTATTCTCACTGTAAACTTACAATAACTACCATAAATATAGAAATGCAGCATTTCCTTTTTTTGTTTCCACTCTGTGTTAGCATTAGTTGAATTATCATGAATAGTGAGTCAAATAAAAAGGAAGAAAACCCACTTAATCTAGCTTTTCTTCTTCAGATATTCAAGATCCACTGCAAACTACCAGTCAGTATCTTATCCAGCAAGTAGAAACGACAGTAGATGAAGAGACATTACCTGGCAAGTTACCAGAGACCCCTCTTAGGATAGAACCTCCATCTTCTTATAAGGTAGTTGTTTTGTTCTGTTTTGCTTTTAATTTTTGGCATGTACTTCTCCCCAGGGATGAAAATGTATATGACTTGGTGACATTTCTAGGAGGAAAAATTATAGGAAAATACTGTTGAAAAAAAAAGAATGTTAATCAATATTACAGTTTGAGAGAATAGACTTTCTTCCCACTGTTCCTTGTGTTGTCTACAGAAACAAGTGCAAATACTAGATTTTCCCCTTCGTGGATGTTTACAGACAAAACAAGCAGAAATAGCATTGTTAAGATTCAGATAGTGGGTTTTTTTGATGGAAAGATCAAACACAATATCCGCTTGAAGATGGTAAAAACATGCATAAATTCCTAGCACTTCATCTTCAGGCCTTTATTTATAATTTGGAAAAAGCAACATAGCATATAGTAACTTATTTCTTGAAGAGAGACTTCTCATTTCTACTTAACCTAATGTTGTGACTTCTCAGACTGCTGTTTTGCAGCTTTGTATTTAATAAAGCCCAGGATTTTCTATTGTGTAAGATATCTGACAGTGACTGATTTCTGCAGAAGTCTAAGAAATGCCTGTAGTAGGTCATTAAGAAGAACAGACTTTTACAGATAGGGGCTAGCAAACTTTAAAACAACTTCCTAAACCACTCTTTTAAGAGTAAGAAATTGCTTTTGTACTCAGAGAGGAAACGAGTGGCTGGCTAAATCCTGTCATGGCCTGACCTCACAAATACTTCATGAGAGCAAGTTGTGATATTTAAATCATATCAAGCTAAGTATTTATGACAGTTTTAAGTTCTGTTCAGTTTGAAATTACAGCAGTTTTTCGTGACTTTTGTTGGAGATATGAAATGCTTGCCACTCTGGGAGATGGGCCATTGGTCTGGCACGGTAAGAAACACAGTAGCAGCTTGAGAAGTTACAGTTCCAGATGGGGTAGGGATAGGATCCACGCCCCTGTTTGTAGCTGCAAGAAACACATTATAAACTAAGGCTGAGACAGAATGGGCAAAACAGTGTGGGGAAAGTTCCAGATGGGCTAGAGAATATGCTACCCTTGTAGCCTGTGCTGGACAGGCATGGATCCCATGGCATTGCAGCTGCTCTAAACCTGGGCCAAATACAGCCCTCACGTGCTCTGTTCATGTGTCGTTTATTTCCCAAGTGGCCTTTCCTTTCAGGTACCTCTTCCAGGATGAGTCACTTCTGCAAAAATTAACCTTTCATATGTCCCAGACTTCAATGAGGAAACATGTTTGAGTCACTAATCAATTCTGTCTTGCTTTTGTGCACCTATATACACACGCACGCACGTACACAAGTCACTCTACTACCACATAATACATTTCACCCATAGCTACAAAAATTGCACTTGCTATGTTTTGTAACCTATCTTGTTTTTCTTTCCTGTTTGCTTGTAGGTGATGTGCCAGTGGGTAGAAGACTTGAGAAAAGGGTTGTGCAGATTCTGGTTTCGGTCTTTTCCTATATTCTTTAATCTGATGGAGGTCATTGTGGTCGGAGTTGTTGGGGCATCTCTTATTCTGAAAGTCTTAAAGGTGATTTTCCCTTCGTGCGAACACAGGTGAGTAACTTTCGCTGGTTTCCTCCAATAAAGGCAAAACATTAATTAAGAAATCTTTTAACTTAGAGGCAGCCTAATTCTGTGGGAAGATGGTGGCTACAATCCAGTAAAAAGGCTGCCAGTAACTTTCCATTCTAAGTGACCGCATGACATAATAGAAGTTTCAGAGGAAAAGGGGCAAATCTGTCACTGGAAGTTTTTTAGGGCTGTTGCGCTTCAAATTTCATCAAGTCTTCTGAGGGCTATGATTTGAGAAGCCACTAACATAGCACCAGCTTAGAATACTGCCAACCTGGAGAAAGGTTGTACAGAAGAGCAGAGAGGAGAGTAGAAGCTAGCACTAAACAGCAATTCTAGATTTCTTCATGCTGTCTAGTGGTGTCATCACAGTAGTCATGAAGGGCCTTGCATTTGGCTTTGCAAAAGCCAATGGGAATTATATGTGAATTCTCCAGGTAGGAGCTATCTGTAAAGGCAGGTTAGAAGACATAGCAACTGGTGCTACAACTGGCAGCAAAAGGTCATAAAGTTGACTGCAGACAGCTTCATTCATTCAGTTGGTATGCTGCTACCAGCAGCACTAGTATTTTTCAGAGCATGCAAGTTGTCAAAACAAGGAGCGGAAGGATGAATCAGTAACTGCCTCTTGGAATCAGTATATAGTTTTAGTGCTGGAAAGGGGAAGCCTGTTCATTTTTTAAGCAGCTAATGGAAGAGCTAATGCATGCTCCTTCAGGAGAAATGACTGACAGTGAAGAGTGCTTCATCAGCCGTAACAGGCACAGCTGATGTCTTCAAATGTGACTGACCAGCTGTGCCTTATTTGTGTGGCCTCCCAAGGAGCGAGAGTGGCCCTAGTGCTTCAGATGAAGCAAGGAAAATAGAGGGTTGGTAAACTGGGAAGGTTGGAAACTAGTACCAAAACATTCATCATGCTTCCTCATGCCACCTCACAAAGCATACAGGCAGCTTGGAGTACTTTTGGTAACTAACTGATTAGAGTAGGAAAAAGCGAAGAACCAGTTTGTACCAACTGCCCTTCCACAACAATAAGCAACTTCATGCTGCCTTTTGTGAACCTCTGAACTAAGTAGACCTAGAAGAGAAAAATCCTAATCCGGATAATCAAATTGTTCAGCACAGTGTGTGATAGAAACTATCCATGGCAGAGGTCAGTAATAAGGACAGAAAACAGACCGCAGTAATTTCTTTTCTAATCAGAGAACATGGGGCTTGTCAGAGCTTTCCAAGAAACTATAATGCTGGAAGACTTTCTTCTCCTCACCAGTCCTTTTCTGCCTTCTGTATAAAGTGGTCTTGTAAGAAGTGGTAAAGATTTAATTCTTGATTTTTAAACTGACAGGAATGAGTGGAAGGTCTCATTAAGTGGAGGACCTGGTCTCAGATGAGAGTTAGGACCTCATTCCAAGTCTTAAGCGAGTTCTACAGTAAACTGATCAAAATAGAAGCTTTAACTAATCATAGAAAATAGGTGTAAGAGCCTGTCAAAGCAGCTCTGATGGCAGAAAATTTTAAACTACTATGGAATTGAGCATAGCACCAACACTACTGATACTTTAGATGGAGAAAATGGGTCAAAGAAACTGCCTGAAGTCACAGGTAATGTGTGTTGGAACCAGATTCCATCAGGTTTTCATTCTGTCTTAATGAAAATAGGTATTTTTGGAGAAAGTACTTAAACTCCCCAAACTTAATCTAGTTTTTGGAACAAATAATAGTTTGGTATATTTTCTTACACTACCTAATCTTATTTTTCAGAGGTATCCTTCTCCTGGATCCAGTCAGCTTTGTACCGGTGATTACCATCAGCCTGCCTTCAGATGTTCCAGACAGGAAAAATAATTTAGATGAGAAAGCATGCACTTAATGCTCTGTTACTTTGGAGTTTTATTTTTATTTTTAAATGAATTTTTAGTTTACCTGAAATTTGGCACTTGATTTTAATATCTTGTTTGCTTCCTACTAAGAAAACAAAGTCAGTTGATAAATTGGTAAGGGACACTGAGGCTGAGGCCCAAAGCTGACTTCCCTGTGCCTCTGCATAAACATACAGCCTTTTCAGAAGCCTCAGAATAAAATAGCTTTCCACCCTGAGGGCTACCATTTGTTTTAACTTCTGTGAAGTCACTTCTCAGCAGCTTGGACAGGATGCTGGCTGCCTTTGCACCCACAGATAGACTAATTCAGCTATCTTAAATAGTGATATGAAATTCAGGGTGTTGTGAAGTCTTGAAATAGCATTCTGCAGAAAAGGACAAGAGTAGCACAGACATTACATATGCCTGCAAGCCAAAACAAAGCTACCCAACCTGGTTTCAGGTCCAACAGGGTTGAGCGTGCCTTGCAAGGAAAATATCACTACCACATACTTGTGTTGCTAAAGAATTTGGTGTATATATACAAAACAAAGCTTAAAAATACAGTTTTATATTTCAAGCACTTTATACCAGAACTTTCTTTCATGGCCCCTTACTCTCATAAAAGTTATTAGCACTTGTAAACTTGTAATTGGCATGCTTACCGTGTGCTTTTTTGTATCCATGACAGCAGTACTATGTAAAGTCTCCAAAAAAAAAAAAACCTACAGAAATACTGGCTTACTATTACTGAGTAGGTCCAGTCTTCCCATACTGATTTTGTATTGTTAACAATTTTCAAATAAATATTTGAATTGTTTATTAGACTGTGTTAATGTGTGCAGCTACATCTACCAAGAACAGCAGTTTACAGAGTGTGTTAGATGTATGATGCTGTTTCTGGTCTTTAGCTTTCGTTATTCTTTACAAAACTTGTTCATCAGAGGAAGAAAGACTATAATAAGAAGAGAAAGAAACCTGACTACCCAGGCTTAGACTGAGCACAGCTGAAACTTGAGTGGTCAGACTGTCCCTGTTTGCTGAAGTTGTTAAGGTAAGGGGGAAAAGCTGGGTTTTTTTTTTTTTTTT